AAAAAAAAAAGGCCGGCCGATTTATCCTCTCCAAAGAAAGGAAGCAAGTGAGCAGGCCAGGCACAACCACATCAGTAGTTTGGGAGAGCAGGTTATAAATCCAGCAGACTATTTTGAACACACAAGTCAGGCGGCCTGTTTTCTTCTAAGACTTTCTGGTTTTGGTAACACTGAGCCAGTTTGGAAAAAAAGAGCTGCAAAAATAGCAAGCTGTCTAGAAAAAAGAAGAAATTTGCTTCACTGAACACCAGCCATTCCCCGATATGTGAACAATTAACTGTCCTGAGCAAATTTCTATATTTGATATGGTCACAATAGCTCCTGGTGAAACATCCAAGAGCAATCTTGAGACTTAAAGATGCTATACAATCATTCCTTGTACCAAGCTGGACATGCGTAGATGAAAAAGGAACTAACATTCAACATTTACTCAAAAACCCCAACTGACTCACTGCAACTCACTGAGATCTTTTCATTGCAAAATACTAGGACAAGCAGCAGCAAGCCACTTCAAGCCTGTTATTTCAACTCATGGAAGAGGTGTAACGAGCTAGCTACCTCAATTTGCAAAAAGACTGATTGCAGCATGTAAATATTCAATTAAGAGATGAAATAGACAGCACCTACTGTGATCAAGAGAAACGAAGTTCCCCAGAATTAGTTTCTGGAATACCCTCTAGCAGGTTCATGGACCACACTTCAAATACAGCTTTTGAAGAAAGGACTGCCTGCAGAACATTTTAAATATGCCCAAGTGACCCTGCAGCATAATTCTCTCGGGATTTTGCAAACCTTGCGCTGTGTCTCTACATGAGTAAACACCAGTTAAAACTGCGGGTATAACTGCATTACAAATCACGTAAACCACGTGCCATTACACAGCTAAACCCACAATATTACGTATTTATCACTTTAGAAAATCATAAGGGCTCTTCTCAAGGAATGCTTTTGTTGTTCTTCACGTGATGCTTACCATGTCTTCATCAGTCTCCAGAGTAATTTTGAAGATGTCTCCCTGCTCTGTCTGGGCCAGGAAGAAGAACATGGACTTGGTCTTATGTGTAGCAGAGCAGACAAAAATCATACCTCTCTCTGGGTCATCCAAGTCATTCTGTCAAGAAAGAAAGTGGAGGTCATTGGTGGAATTACCTGGCAAGTGCAGATGCGATTTCACTGACTGAAGTATTTCCATTTCACAGGTGTCTTAAGAGCTGACAGTATGTGAGGAGGCTTTTAACATGAAGCACATCCCCTCCGTTACACCCATAGTTACCCTTAGTACATCTCTGCCACAGAAGGAAATAAATTTTTAAGACATTGTGCCTAAGCATGCCCCCTTCCTATCTCTTTTGCCCTCCTCCCCAGACAACTCTCTCGCACATCAAAGCCAAACACAGAGGCAAGGGCTGCAACCCACACACAGCTGGTTTTGCAACCCACACACAGCTGGTTTTGAGCACCTGAACCTTGGCAGGTGTTCAAAGCACTGTCAAAGCACACAGCGATTTGCAATACCAAAGGAGGAGGAAGCAGCCTTAGATGCAACAGAGCAGCTGTCAAATTCACCTGCGTACACGACAGCAACCATGACTCAACATCTCAAGTAATCCTATCTTACGTTGACAGCACTGCCACTGTGGTGCCTGATCAGAGTCTTTGGAGTATCTCCAGCATAAATCTCAGAGAAGAGACATGAACCAAGCTCATCACTTCAGGCTATGCCCACCCCCATCTTCCCTCACAGGTAGCATGCAGTCAGGAAGGCAGACGATAAGCCAACACACTTTTAACTCCTTTTTTCTTACTTTAAAACCTCCCTTATGCCTTTAACCTTGAAAGGCAAATATCATAGAATCACAGAATGCTTTGGGATGGAAGGCACCTTTAAAGGTCATCTAGTCCAACCCCCCTACAATTGGCAGGGACATCTACAACTAGATCAGGTTGCTCAGAGCCCCATCCAGCCTGTCCTTCAATGTTTCCAAGGATGGGGCGTCTACCACCTCTCTGGGAAACCCGTTCCAGTGTTTCACCACCCTCATCGTAAAGAATTTCTTCCTTATATCTAGTCTGAATCTACCCTCTTTTAGTTTCAAACCATTACCCCTTGTCCTATCGCTACTGGCCCTGCCAGAAAGTCTGTCCCCATCTTTCTTATAAGCCCCCTTTAAGTACTGAAAGGTTGCAATAAGGTTTCCCTGCAGCCTTCTCTTCTCCAGCCTGAACAGCCCCAGCTCTTTCAGCCTTTCCTCATAGCAGAGGTGTTCCATCCCTCTGATCATTTTTATGGCCCTCCTCTGGACAAGCATTCACTCAGCACTGACAAAGATAATCTTAAAAAAAAAAAAAAAAAAGGGCAGGAATCCCAAAATTCTCACCCGTCTCCTGGGAATTGGGCATCTGATGTCAGGCTGGTCACCGAAGTTTTTATAAGTAATATAGTTTTCAGAACAGATCAGCACCCCACTAGGTCCATCAGAACCACCAGGAACTGAAAAACAAAAAAGAAACATTATGAGAAAAGTCCTTATCACAGATCTGCCTCCCAGCAGAACATTTATTTTGGTTTTCTTCAAAGCAACATAGTTTCCATTGCTCTGTATCACCCTGCATATATGAATCCACTCATATTGAAGGGAAAGACAAAACACTGAGTACAGCTTCCCAGATCGGTGTAAGAACAGGGCAAATGGAACTGGGGGGCCAGGAAGGAAAAAAAGGAAGGATGCAGCTTCAGACAAACTGCTTATGTTTTATCCTTGATGGCTTATTCTTGTCTAGAAAGCCATGACATGCCCAAAATACCACACTAGCAACTTGTCAGTTAAACACAACCCTTGGGTTACTCGCATGTTTGCTTGCCATCAAAAAAAAAAAAAAAAAATATCTTCCAGATGGTTTTCTGACATACCTTTCATTTTTAGATTATGTTTTTTAAAATGCTTCTACTGAAATCCCAGCATAACAAAAGATATAATCAAAATAGTAGTAGCGGTCAGATCCAGCCCAATATTGGCTGTCTGCCAGCTGCCTATGAAGATGCAACAGCAGGGCAAGCGTACAAGGATGCTCTCCTAGCTTAGCTTCCTTTGGGCTTGGAGAAGAATCTGCAGCGTTTCGGCGGTTTCCCAGGTCAAAGGTGTTAGGTTAGCTTTGCATCCAATTCCTGCAAGTGGGCTTTTAGCCCATGGATTCATCTACTGCCTTTTGAATGCATATTAGCTGCTGGAATCCCGTGCAAGAGTGTACAACAGCACCTATGCATTACCTAAAGTATATGCTCTTGCATCTGCTACCAGCTAATTTCAGTTAATATCCCAGCTTCGGAATCCAGACAATACCCAGAATACATCTAGAAGAAGAGACATGAGGAGCACCTCCAAACCGCAGCTCTTTCTATGAATTCTGGCATATTTCCATGTGTGAACCACCACTCACCACCTGACTCCAAAGTCAATTAATTTACACTAATGGCTCAGACTACCATCAAAACAACTCCTAAGACGTAAAGCGTATTGATTCTGTTTCCCTGGGGAATGGGAATCAAGTAGATCCACAGGAAAATTAATTTGTGGCCAGGTGGGCAGTACCTGTTATAAGGAAGTTGCCGTGCTCTTCCAAGGGCTCACTGTATTTCCTAACAACGTGGTTCAAACCCAAGTCCAGTTCATAAAATGTCAATGTCTGTTGTGTGTTGGCTGCTGCTTCGCCTGTGGGATCATTGTCTGCTTCCTAAAAACAGAACATGTGAGGGTGTCTTTCAAGAAAGGTATTAAAGGGGGAGAACAATGATGATGCATCAGGAAACAGCTTTGAATGACATCAGAATGAAAGTCCAAAAGAAGACTTGCTGGAAGATGCACATAAAGTTCAGAGGAAGAAAATACACACTTTTGTACTTGAACAGCAAGAATTTAAGAACTACCAAGACAGAAGCAGCCAACATTCCCCACCTCCACAGACAGATTAAGAACAGAAGAGGAACAACAAAGCTCAAAAGACAGCAAAGGGAGATCAAGTTCTTCTCACCTCGTAATCCATTTCCAGACAAGCAAACATTGGGTTTTCAAATCCCACATCGACTCCCACCACATGGTAGACCAAGGTATTGGCCTTGTGGGCTTCCAGTGGGGAGGAAATGGTGAGACGAGCAGCAGCATCTCTGTTCAAGATATACACCAGCTTCTGCTTTTCAATCGCACCTGCAAGAAAAGGACAACAGCACCTGAAGCACATCACCCTGTGATCAAATCTGATCACACCTGCAGTCCAGCATCAATGTAAGACTTTGCAAGAGCATGTCAGTGTTACTTCCGCTGAGGTTCACCACTGGTATTTATCTCTGTGCCGCCATTTCACTTCGAATGTCTCATGTTTAATGTTTCAGGCCGCAAGCACAAATGACAACTCCAGCTCTTTAAAGCCAAAGACTGACCCTTCAGGCTACATCCATCCAGCCCAACATTGAATCTACAACGGCTACAGGCAGCTCTACTCACTCATTCCACCACAGGAGAGGTGACAGACTGCAGGGAAGCAAAAACAAATTAAAAAAAAAAACAGCCAGATGTTCCATCATTTAAAGCAATTTGGCAGAGACCTTTCCTCAAAAATATTTTAACTAAAAAAATGTATTCTTGCCTGATACACAGCATCCCCAACATAACAAACACTTATCACCCTTAACTATCAATGTGAATGGCACAACTGTGACTGTGCTACTTTCTCACCCACGAAAACAAGACTTGTTAGAAAGGAGACAATATCATTTATTGTATTCCCAATATAAAGAGTGTCCTGCTTTCAGAACGCATAGAGTTAATTTTCTTCTTAGTAGCTGATATAGTGCTGTGTTTTGGATTTAGGATGAGAATAATGCTGATAACACACTGATGTTTTAGCTGTTGCTAAGTAGTGCTTACACTAGTCAAGGACTTTTCAGCTTCCCATGCTCTGCCCGGTGCAGAAGAAGCTGGGAGGGGGCACAGCCAGGACAGCTGACCCAGACTGGCCAAAGGGCTATTCCATACCACATGACATCATGCTCAGCAAGTAACTGTTACACATGACAGAGCCCTGCTTTCCTGGAGACGGCTGAACACCTGCCTGCTGATGGGAAGGAGTGAATCAATTCCTTGTTTTCCTTTGCTTGCGTGCACGGCTTTTGCTTTACCTATCAAAACATCTTTACCTCAACCCACAAGTTTTCTCACTTTTACTCTTCTGAATCTCTCTCCCATCCCACCGGGGGGGGAGTAAGCGAGCAGCTGCGTGGGGCTTAGCTGCCAGCTGGGGTTAAACCACGACAAAGGGGCACTGTCAAACCACCATCATTGCAAGTCCCCGCTCTCAGCATGCAAGAAAGCATCGCACAAAGCTGGCTACGGCAAACCGAGAAAGTTCATGTCCCAAGTAACTAAGACACCTCATGGTAAATCTTATAAAAAAATTATCCAAGTGTCTTTCTACCTGCGAAGCCCGATCAGAAATGCATCTAGCTGTCTCCACAGTACATCTCAGAGAAGAGACATGAATTCATAACATCATTTCAGGCTATGGGAGCTGACTGAGCACGCTGTAGCGCCGACACTTGCAATCCCAACTTCTCTCCCAGATATCACGCTTCAGGGCTCTGCGCACCACTAAGCACGCTGGCCTCTTTCCAAATTGTTTTGGCCCACTGTTAGAATTAATTTGTGCAATTCCATCAGTGTCAAGGAACTATTCTGAATGCCTGCATTCTCCTTGACATGTCTCATAGCCTAACAAACTGCCTGAGAAGAAATACTTCCAATTATACCTGGCAGAAACTCACTCCAAAACAAATATCCCCGAGACAGGAGAAAAAAAATAAGGAGAAAACAAGCCGACAGACTGACTTACTGATCATGACGGCACGGCCCTTTGGGTCTACAGCCAAATACTGGCCTGGAACAATTCTGCGACATCCACTCTTGCCAAAGGTTTCCTGATGAATCTTCTCAAACACATTCTTTGAGGGCTGGTACTCCAGAATAACAATGCGCCCTGAATCGCTTCCCACGACGATATAGTCTTTGGTCCCACCTGTCAGCCTAAAGGCCATGAGGGAGCGAATGACTCCGAACACTTCCACAGTCAGCAGGGTGTGAACCTTCCCTGTGTTGGGATCGGGGCGGAGTAACTCCAGGATCTTGCCCCGGGAAACAACAATTTCTTGTTGTTTGGTTCCTGAAGAACCCAAAACATGAAGAAGAGTCAGCAACAACATGCAATTTCAAGAAGCACCATAAGAAAGAAAATAAAACTTCACAACTACTAAATGCCAAAGAGTTTTATGATTACTACAGAAGAATTCAAAGCAACTTATTCACCACGTTGGGTGCCACTACTGTTTGAGCATCTTTTAACAGACCAGGAAAGTGAACAAAATACTAAGTTAAATCTACACATAATCAAGCCAAACTTCTCTTGATCTTTCCACAAGTTACAATAGCTTAGATAACACACAAGAGCAAACAATAATATACCAGAGAAAAAATAATATACTGAAGCAGACTAGCTCCAGCAACCAAACCAAACAAAGAACAAACACCTTTTTTCCTCTACTATCCGAGAGAGCTCAAGCCAAGATGCACTAAGGGAGGGGACGATTACCTGAGAAATTGCCATGGATAGCATAGCTAATGCCAGTGGCACGCTGCAATGTCAGGTTGTAGAGAAACATGCTGGCAACACGTTCGTTTCACCTTATAGTAGCTCCACTGAATCTGCAACAAGTAGAACAAAAATATATACTTTGTAAAAGCAAAGTCTTCCATACAGCACAGAGAGAGAACCGCTGCCCTCTTGTTTGTCTGCATATATCACTTTATTTATTGAACATATACAAAATTACACATGATCCTTTTCCAGGTTAAATAAAGGTGGCCCATCCACCTCGGTAAAGACCAGTGCTTAACGTCTTTCAGCAGG